CTGTCCACCATTAACCATTCCCCATTCCCCATCCCGCGGAGCCGTAATTAAAATGCAGCTGGCTTTCATTGTTGGCGCCTGCGGAGAGTCGAGTGCACAGGTGCCCCAAAGCACGCGCCTCCCCTTTTTTGGGGATCCCAAAAACTTAACAGCTCTTATCAGTTTCCCGACGCTCCTCAAAATTGGTCCTGAAATTGGGCAGACCTTGGTGGATTCGTGGGAGAAATGTATTTACAATGTGACTTCAGTTCTGGAGCTGGGAGTTATCCCCTATATCTTGTTGAGAATAATTCAAATATTTGTTGCTGCACCTTGACACCTTGCAGAACGATTTGAAGTGTCAAAATTGTTTTCATTTTGGCTTGAATTAAAAGTCGATAAGGGCGCACCTGCATACCGAGAAATTCAAGCCATCGTGTCGACTTTTTACAGCAAAGAGTTCGAGTGCTTTTAACGTTCCATCTCGGCCAGACTTGGCCAGATTTATTCAAGTGGATCTAGCGCTTCCACCGCTTACAGCAAAACTGTTGTATGTCCGTTTGATGCAGATTTTCCGGACGAACTGTCGGTGGTATACGTATATTTCCCCCGCTGCTTGCCCCTTTGTCCCTGAATCTTGTTGAGTTGAGCCCAGCAGTCGGGTCGATTTCCCTTGTCGGGAATGGAGTTTCGGCCGCATTCGGGCTTTAAGTCAATCAATTAAATTTAATTGTCGGCATCCCTTCGCCAAGGAACAGTGGAGATCTAGTCAGAAGACCTCTCCGTCAAATTTCGTTGAGGTTGTAGAAGGAAATGGTGTTCTATAGACCTAAGACTCTATTGTTACTTCCTTGTAAGTGGGACGGTTTATTAAATCAAGCCGAGATTCATAGCATACGATTCTGCAGGTTGCAGACCTTAGCTCAGCCCCAAGGAACCGGTTGGAAAAGGCCTGACTAGTGCGGCTTGACCAGCTTCAGAGCCCTCCGTAATCGACTGCCAGTTGATGCTGCCAGATACAGGTTCTTCGGATGCAGATACACAGATACAATCCTGCGGCAGCAGCTACAGTTGCGATTGCTATTGTAATAGGGTGCTTGGCCGAGCGAGTGATTTTGTCAGGTCGGAGGGACATCGAGTGTTGAGCACTTTAATTGCAGGCATTAACCCGGAGTATTTATTCACATTCCCCATCCATCCGCACACGCAATCAAAAGTGCCTTGGCTAATAAATACATGCACTTAAATCGCTTTCGGCTCCGGTGAAAGACGAGATGTGCACACTTAGTTGGCTGCCCTGCATCTGCCATTTAATTAAAACACTGCCATTTATAAGGACGCCGCTCGGTTGATTTTTGTTAATGTCGAATAATTTGTGACCATGCTCAGTCAAGCAGAATCGTTTCTTGCAACTTGCAACTTGCAACTGATTTTGCCAAAGTGCAAGGGATTACGTTTAAGGGGTTATATACCTTTTTTCAAGTTCAAAAAATCGAAAATTTTTTTATTATTTTTTTTTGATGTACATACTTTCAACAATTTTTCTGCAAAATTTTGTAGAGATCGGGGCACTAGAACCTAAGATACAGCCGTTCATAGCGCACGGTGAACATGACTACCTAATGTCCACCTAAAACTTTAAACGCGATTATCTCGGAGTCACATTTTTGAGAAAAGGTCATTGCGGTGAGCACGATATCTCGGTAACCACTACATCGATCGATTTGAAATTTTGGGGGATTGTTTGTAGATACAATAGCTAGTTCGTGAACGAAGGATTTTTTTTCGAATTTTTTTTTCTATTTTTTTGGGGCGAAAAACTAAATTATTAGACCTCGAAAAATCGATTTTTTTGAAAAAACAATCGCTGTAACTGTAAAAAATTTTTTTCGTAAAATCCTTCGTTCACGAACTAGGTAACACTATATACTAACGTAGTTTTTTTTCATTTTTTTTTTAAGTTGAGCCGTTTTCTTGTTTTCATGCTCACCGCAAGCCTCTAATGAAAAAAGGACTTCTGCGGGAAGGACTATAACTTCCACAATACTCAAAATTTTCAATCGAAATTTTATACAAATTAAGTTAAGGACACGTACTTTGATAAAATTTTTATTGAATTTAAATAAAACAATGGTAACATGCTAAAAAAAATAAATAAAAACCATGTATTTCTCTGGTGAAAAAGGTATATAACCCCTTAATTTGATGCCAGACTCCAGAAGGTATTGCGATCAAAGCTGTTTTATTTTCATTCTCAAAACGCTTTGGCTACTTGCTAGCCTTGTGAGACTATGTGTCTGCAAATTTATCCCTATGTAGCTCATAAATAAATTTTCCCACTGTTCGCCTTAAACATTTACAGCGAAACAAGAGCAGATTGCCTAATTCATGCCAAGGTTTCATTAATTTGCCCTTTGCGAAGCACTCGTATTGTCGATTTGTTGCTACTGCAGTTTCTGCTGCTGATGCTGCGGGCAGTAAAACTGCAGCAGTCATCATATTAAAATTCAATTATACAATTGCTTTTGTATTGCCGCCTGCCATCCAGTCCTCTCCAAATCGCCCATTTTTGTCTCGCTCGTGCATAATTTAAGCCCATTTCATTTATATGTGCCCGCGGTGGCAGTGTGTTTTGTGTGGCAGCATTTCGTGAATTCATAACGTAAAGTACAAAGCTCGTGCCATCCATCGACATTTTCAGCTGCTGCAAATTCCATGGCCCAGAACTGGCAGTGAAAGTGATTTGGAAAATCCAGAATCCAGAACACTGCACTCCACTAAGTTACCTAAGATCAAAGCTCAACGATCCTGAAAGTCAGTGGTTTACTTATCCAACTGCTGTCGTAGCAAGCTAAAATGTTCGAATTTGAAACATCGTTTTATCCGCTTAATTTTGAAAATTATTTGGAGATATTCACTAGGTTTTTCATGTTTCCCGTAGCTTGTAGTAGCTTCCATCCATCCAATTTGCTGGCCATTTCCATGTTAGACTCTTTAGCTTGCTCATTCGAGGCGGTAGATGGCGCCAGACGCTCAAGAGCCCACGGCCGAAAGGTAGGCAATGGATTATAAGAGTTAGGAAGGCCACTGGAACAACTCGGTGGAGGGGGAGAGGGGAACAGGAAGGGGGAGGAGACTTTCACAAAGAAAGAAGGCAAAGAAAAGGAGGAGAAAAGCCGGGAAAGTGCAGTGAAGTTGTCGGCACAAAGGCGGAAGGCGGAGGGTCAAGGGTCAAGAGGCGAGGCAGCGGATGGATTCTCCGGAGTCGGGCCAACTTTGGCACTTGGACCACCCTTCTTACCCTGTGCTTTCTCCGCTTTTCGGGCATTTTAAGCGTGCAAATGTTAAGCTGTACCCTTTCCCCTCCTCTTCCCTTTCCTTCATTTCCCCGTTTCCCTTGCCGCCCCGGCTTTTCATAGGGAACAACTTGCAGTTGGCGTCGTCGCCGCCCCTTTGTGCCAACTTGACAAACTAAAAATGAAAAAAGTTTCCCGGAGCGGCGCCTTTTTCAATATCCTTTTCCCGCAAAATAAGCACTATAAGCGGGGTCGAAGGTGAAGGAACATGTAAGGAGACGCAGTCATGGCGACGACCCGACATATTGATTTTAATTTTGGTTTCGGCTTTGGTCCGCCACTCAAGGCCTGCCTGCAAAAATCGAAGGGCATCGTCGACGGGGATTGTAAAGGGGAACGTACCCGGTGAGCCCGGAATCGGAGGGATTTTCCGCATTAATTGGCAATTAGGCGTTTTCCTTACCAACTGATTCGAGCAGTCGAAATCGTATTGATTACGGCTTTGCCAAAAAATATTGGCTAATAGTACAAATTCGTTTTCGCATTTGTTTACTCCATTTGTTCTCCACCCACACTTTCTCTAAGAGGAAATTCAAAACCTTTACTAAAGTGTTTTTTATAAAAGTATTGTCAAAGCGCCGAAGTTATTATTTCTTTCTTTTTCTCCTTAGTAATCAATTGAGTTTCGTTTGAAATGATTAAAAGTTCGATAGATTAGATAGATGCTGAAATTTTTTATCTAGCAACCAAGCAATTTGTCTCAAACTCTTCGGCTAGCCAAGCATCGAGTCAGTTGATCTGGTCTGACCTCTAACCCGAGCCCGTTGGCTGAGGAGAACCGGTTCGTCTTCCACTTCCACTCAATCTGTCCGATCCGTAGACAAATTTCACAGAACCTGACAGCGCCGAAGGTTCAATCCCCTGAAGTCGGCTGCCTCTATCCGCTGTTTATGTGTAATTTGCCAATTTGCACAAATTTCGGGTATCGAAAATCAAACGCAGACGACTGGAGAAAGCGGTGAAAGAAACCGGAATAAATATGGTGGATCATTTCATGTTCATCTTGTCTCCACGTCTCGTTTGTGTTTTGTTTTTTTTGCGTTGGCTAAGTCAGTAGTTAGTATTCGTGTTGGATCCAGTTTATTATTTATTTTTGTGTTTCCAGGGCCAGCCAAATGTTCTTGAACTTGGTTTCGTGTTTCTAAATCTCGATTGACCCTTGGTGCCCTTCCTATAAGTTCTTTAAAACCAAATCGTGTCATTTCGGTTTAGCAACGGCGTAAATTGTTTTACATAAAATAAACAGCAGTATATCAGTAAACAAATGCTTGCCAGAGTTTCATTAAAATTGGACAGAGTGAAGTAGATAACTTCTTTTGTTTGTTCAATAGGTCAAAGCAAAGCGTCCGAAAAAAATTGATTTTGAAATCACCATTTTATTCAATACAGTTTCTCATGAGTTGTTTTGTTTTTTGTGCTTCCGAGTTGTTCAGCTTCTCTCAGGTGGATTGGTTGCTAACATGCTTTTGGCATACACCCGATCTTTATTTACCTCTTTGTTGACTCAAAAAAAAAAAAAAAAAAAAATTCTTCGTATCAATCATATATTTAAGCATTGAGTTTTGTGTTTCATTATGAGAAGCGACTCTTATCTCTTCCTGCACCCTTTCTTCCAGACCAATTTTGCACTTGAAAAAAGAAAAAAAATGGTGGAGAGCTTCTGGCTCAGTTGGCGATCCGGAAGCGTCGCCAGATGCGCTGCAACTGAGAGCCGGCGGCCGACTGACCCGCTGGCGGTGGAGATTGTGGTCCGTCGAGGTGGTAGGGTTCGATGAAGTTGGCCGCGGACTCCGAGTTGCGCTGCTGCTGCTGCTGCTGCTGCTGCTGCTGGGTTGCCGACCGCCTCTCGGTGGGCTTCCTATTCTGGACTCGGCTCTTCTGCTTCTTCTTCTGGGGGTGCTTGTGCACCCGTCGGTGGCTCTTCTTCACCAGGCTCCTGTTCCTGTTCCTGTTTCTGTTTCCGGTTTTGCTGCGGCGGAGCTTGTTGGGCCACTGCGCCTGCTTCCTCCGCTTCTGGGGCTCCACTGGCAGCGCTGCTCCTTCGCGCTCCCCCTCCTCCTCATCCTCCTCCTCCGGCAGATCCAGGCGCCCCTCGAATCCCCGGCCAGTGGAGGTGGGCACCGGCAGCGTCACCATCACCTGGCTCTGCTGCGAGTCCGCTGCTTGGAGAGGCAGGGAGCGGGCAGTGCTGTTGGTGGTGGTTGTGGTGGTCGTGGTGGTGGTGGTGGTGGGCGAACCGGTGGGCGTGGTCGTGGTGGTCGTCGTGGTCGAGGGCTGCGAGATCACGATCACGTTGTCGCTGGGCGGCTGCTGGAAGAGGCCCCGCATCAGCATGAACTTCTTCATCAGGTCCCGCCCAGAACCGACGTCCTGGGCGGCGGGGCTGCCGGAGGCACTGCGTCCCTGGAGCGCTGGCAGGCGGTAAGCTGTGTGCGAGAACAAACAAAGGAACTATCACGAAAGGCATTGAACTGATGGCAGGAAAAGTACTGCAAATAGGAACAAATCGGTTTCGTTCAGCAGCGTTTCCCCCGGGCTCTCGTCTTCCTCTCGCTGTTCGGAGGAGGCGGTGTATGTACGTAGGAACTATGTGGGTTCCAGGCGACCCAGGGCCGAAACAGATGGCATTGATTGCCTATGGGGTCTGTGAAGGACTCACCTCTCCTGCGGGACTCGCAGGCGGAGAAGAGCGCCAAGAGGAGGAGCAGGAGTGCGGTCAGGTGCTGGGGGTTCCGCATGGCGCCGGGGTTCCTTGGGCAGTGTGGCGCTCCCGCTGGGGAACCCCTTCTTATAGCACCCGACACCCGGCGCAATTAAAAAGCCGCCATCAAAAGACACAGTGGCACAGTTGCGTGACGCCGCGACGACATGCAATTATTGGGCGGATCAGAACGGAACGGAACCGAAAGCCGATGTTGGGTCTTGCCGGGGAAAGTATCAAAGATATCAGTATCTTTGGAACGCCCGACATCTCCGCCCTCTCCGAGCTACGAGCTGTGAGCTCCGAGCTCCGAGCTCCGGACAGTAAATCAAATCTAATAAACTCGACAATAAACATGCGTCCGCATAAATCTGCACTGGCCGAAGGGGAAGAGCCGCAGGCAGAGATTCTCCGAGCTGTATAAATAAATAAACGACTGTCCGTCCGTTGAGTACAGCAGAGTCCAAAACAATATTGGCTAGGCGGATCCGATCCGAGATGGATTCCTCAAAAACATTCAAAACAATTGGAGTTTCGGCTCTTGCCAGTAGGTAGAATGGAAAATGACGACTTGGTTTCTCATGGAGGAATGCACCTCCGGTCGGGTTTCGTGCCTCATTCGGTGGACTCGATGGTGCTGAGCCACATCTACGCTACATTTGGTGACCAGTGTCTCACCAGATCTGTGCCGCAGTGTGGCTTTCCCGGACAGTGTCGAGTGTCGAGTGCGTAGTCGCACCAGCAGGCCAACAACTTTAGCATAATTCACTTAAATCTTTTTGTTTTAATCTTGAAAAGTGTTTGCCACAAAACTCCCGCCAGCACGCACACGAGAGCTTCTGACAGGCGAAAGATACGAGTATGCGAGATACAAAGATACAAAGATACTCGTACTCGTGCTCGTCTACGTGTGTCGGTGGTACTTCCTCGTCCCGCAAAGTGTTTTTTTCGTAATCACCAGAGTGTTGTGTCAATAGCCCGACGTCCCCTCCAACTTGTATCCACTGCTATCATTATTATTTCTACTGTAACACTTTGGTCAAGTGGAGGTGGAAGTGGACGTGGAAGTGGAACTGGAAGTGGGAGCCAGCAGGAGCTTCTGCTGTCCTGTCAGTTGCAAAACCTATAAGAGGTTCAGGGAGCTGGTTTCGTAGATGGTTTTGATTTTGATTGTTCGTCTCGTTCTCGTTCGACAGAAGTATGAAAATATGGGGAAGCTGTAAAACACGTCACTACAAAACTTTAATTACTTTCAAATAACAAGTGAGATGGGAAGTGGACGTTGAATAAGTAATGAACAGCAATCATATGCGAGGTGTAACTGGCAAATCATTCGAGAGACATATTTATTTTACCTAACATCTTACAACAGCCGAAAGGGCCATCTTCAATTTACGAATAGATTGGAAAATGGCAATAGAAACTATTCGAGAAATATTGTAACGCAATATTCCGCAATTTTAATGGGAAAATTAAAAATCCTCGAGTCAATCAGAGTGCTTTTTTAATTTGGCTTTGGTTAAATTCCATTTATTTTGCCTGCCAATCAATAATTTAAATTCCTGGCTGTGTCCTCGTGTGTTTCATCACGGCCTGCGGAATTCCATCTCCATCTGCTCGTATTATTTGCTTGCATTTCTGATTGAATACGAGTAGCTCCAAGTGCGTCGTTCGCTCGGCCCTCAGAAGGTGAAGCGAAGGCCAGACGAGATAGGAGCTTGGCATAAAATTCAATTATAGAATTTTCTATTAACTTAAAAGCTTCTTATATTTATTTAATTTATTATTGTGTCTCAGAAAGGTTTCTGCCCGAAATGTCCAAATGTGGGCGGTGATTCCACGTCTATCTGTTATTATTATTGAGCGCTCGACAGTCGAGAGCCCAGAATGTTGCCGTCAATTAGACACACATTCAGAACTTTAGCAGAGTGGCAGCCAAAAACAAGGCCAGAGTGGAAATTCCTACTATTTGCTATTTGCTACTTGCTGTTTGCCATTCGCCATTTGCCATTTGCCGTTTGCCGTTTGGCATTTTCCTCATTTTCTCCGCAAACACTGCCAGATAAATTGACAGAGCCCCTCTGAAAAGTCTTATTTTTGACTGATTGAATTGTCTTCGCAGCAAATTAAAATTGATATAGTGAGCGCATCTATTCCAAAGTGTCTCTGCTTCTCCCCGGGAAAACTCGCCTTTTCCCAGCTGATGCAAATTGAAAAGTGTTCTATTCTCGCAATGGGAAAGCCCATTCACTTGGTGATATCAACTGAGAATATGCCATCAACTATTCCCTATTAACTTCAGCAAGGAAAGCGCACTCCTTTCTTACCTTCTGTTTGCAACTTGATTAGTTTATTCGTGCCAAAAAAAAGTACATATGCTGTTCACTTCCATGGTGCTGAGCTGCCGGGGGATCACCGCCTGAGGTACTGCACCCTGCGGACGTTCTGTGCCAGGGACTGGAGGGGACGCCTCCTGGTCGGCGGACGAGCCCGCAGCCGCTGGCCCAGGATGCCGAACCCAGGGGCGGAGTGACCCGTGGCGACCAGTGGCTCCGGCTCCGTCTCCGCCTCCGACTCCTCGTCGGGGCCCTCCTCCTCGTGAGCAGTGAGCTCGGGAACGAAGGCGGCAACGGAGGCGAAGCCGCCGTCCTCCTGGTCGCCGCTCTCCCGTACGGCCGGCGCAGGCGGAAGCGGAAGCGGAGGACCGCTGGCCAGCTGCCGGAACATGCGCAAGCTCATGGGGACGTAGCGCACCTCGTTGCCGACGGTGATGGGCACCAGGGGGACTCCGGGCAGGCCGTAGCCTCCGGGGAGGACGCCCAGTCCCGCGTAGTCTCCCCCACCTCCTCCGCCGTAGAGCGCCGCGTCGCCCCAGCCGAAGAGCTCCGGGTAGGAGAGCGCCGGGGAGGAGAGCTGGGCAGCCGGGGAGGAGGAGCCCTCGTCCTGCCGCCTGCGGAAGTACTGCGTCTGCAGGGGGTACTGCACGGGGTAGCCGATGGGCGCCCTGATGAACTCCGAGGTGCGGGTGCCCGTCGTGGTCGTGGACGCGGGCACCGCCGTCGCGTTGGTCACGATGTTGTTGGTGTTGCTGTTGTTGACTGCGCCGGAGCCGCCGCTGGTGATCACCACCACGGTGGTGCCGCGAGGACCGAGGAATCTGCCTTCGCCTTGGCCGCCGGCCCTCCTCCGCTGCCCGATCTGGACGGGGCTCAACCCGGAGGTCAGGAGGAGCACCTGCCGGAGCTCCTGCTGTAGGTCCTGCTGGGCGTCGGGCTCGTCCAGGTCCGCGGCGTAGAGTCCCCGTGGCTCGGGACTCTCCGGGGGGCTGCGGCTGCTCCTGCTCCGGGAAACCGAAGCTGCCGGCTAGATCCTTCCAAGCGAGTGGAAAGAGGTAGCCGTTGGCCTGACGAGGAGCACTCCTGGCGACGGCGACACCCAGGATGGCCACCAGGGCCAGGAACATCCACTCGCAGGAACTCTTCCGTGGGGGCTGCATTTCGCTTCTTCGTGGCTGTGGCCTCTGGGGAAACTGTGAGTGAATGGAGCGGATGGCGGACTTTTATAGCCCGGTTACGGGATGTCCTAATGAGTGGCAATTTATCGGAGCGCTTATCACTGATTTCTCGCGGTCAGCCCCATTAATCTCAGTTCGCTCCGACTTGTTCTCGGCCGAGTGGTCATATCTTACATGCTCATTGGGTTTCCAGATCGCTGATGTTGGTTACACGGCCACGAATAGGGCAAAAAATAGAAAAGTTTTGGAACTACAGAAAGGTATAGGCTTACATAACTATAGAAATCTTTGTCTCGAGAGTTGAGCATCAAAAAGCAGCCAGACATTCAAATCGAAGTGTCAGTGCAAATAATAAAGAATAGTAATGTTAAAAAAAAATTCAAAAAGCATGGCATTCTGTATCTACGTACAATATTTGTATTGATGCGATTGCTTTGCCTTCGAAATGTCAAGTAATGAAACATAAATGCATTTATCAGCCGGCTGTTTGGACTGAAATTGGATAGTTATGGCTTCCATTGGATAAGTTTATTAGGTTAATTAAATGTTCTTCGCTTGCACCGCTGTCACAAAGCGACGCAAATGGCTGCCAGTGCTGCAAAGTGCATGTTGAACTACCTACGCATACTCGTGTGTGTATACATACGTATATAGTATAATATTTAATGCGTTCTTTCCGCTTCCCTGTTGATTGATGCCACACAAATACATGCATATATGTATGCACACATATGGTATTTGTTGGTATTGTGTTGCACTTATTTTTCGGCCACTTTCATGCTCCTTTCGCCGAGACGTTTCGCCAGCCGCCTCTTTCTACCGCCTGGCTGTCTGTCTGTCCCGCTCCCACGTCGGTGTGCTTTGGCTTGTTTGTGTGTTTATGTGTTTGTGTGTTTGTGTTGGCCCAATGTGTCAAAGTCAACTTGGTAAAAAGTTGGCTTTTTATTATTTTGTTGGCACTTTTTGAACCGCTTTTTGGCTGCATCTTCCTCTTTTTTATATTTATTTTTTTATTTTCCTTTTCATTTTATTCTATTTTTTTGCCGCTTTCTTGGCCAACTAAAGCTTCTTCTTGGCCAGATGCTCTAGTTATTTTTAAGGGCAGTGGGAAAACATGTATAAAAAAACATTGTCGAGTGCTTGCTCAAAACAGTGAACTATTAGAACTAAAACTATAGGAAATATATAAAGGAGATATTAAGGAAATTGATTGAATCATATAACCATATATTAAAAAACTGAAGAATACAAAGTAAATGCCCAAAAAAATACTTGTTAGATTTGTTAGATGCAGAATTTTAGAAATTATTGGGTTGCACTACTGGGTGTGTTCACTAGTCGAGAGAATTTTTGGACTTCGGTAGATAGAAAATGTTGGTCCATAAGGCGATTTTGGCGACTTTACTGTTTCCCAACTTTCTCTAACAATAAAAATTTAAGTCGATTTTATGTAGCAGGGTTTATGGGACGCTTTTTAAGCAGGTCTTACGCTTTTTGCAGCTTTTAACTGAGAACTCTGTTTTGCGAGTTGCAGTTGCTTTTCCCAACCTTCTTTATTTGCCGAAATTACACACGAAAGTTTAATATCGTCGCCGATTTTGTTGTCTAAGGTCTGCCATTCGAAGGTCTCGCAAAAGAGATAGACAGAGTCAAAATGAAAGAGAAAGCGAGAGTCAGCTGGAGAGAGACAGGCTCGCAGGAGCGAGGAGAGTTCAGAGTTAATGGCATCGTCAAAAAATTGGAAAGGTTTATTTAAATTTCAACTTGTTTCGCAAACGTTTAAAAAGTTTTGCGCTGCTAACTGACTGCAGATAACACTGAAGTATTCCCCTTGACCCTTTTTCCCTTTTCCACCCCAACCCCAACCCACTTGGGTTCCGACTGCTTCGGCGGCGAAGAAACCCTCACTCCAGCTCCTTGTCCTGGGGCCAAGTTAAAACAACTGACAAAAAGTTGTTGCCTCCTTCGAATGGCAGCGAATCAAGGGGGAAGCTGGCAAATCGAAATGGGGAAATGGGGAACTGGGGAAGCGGGGGAAAGCCAGAGGGAGGCCGTGACAAAATTAGCACAAAATATTTTATTTCTGGGCGAGACAAGTTGGCCATGAATTCGAAGGCTGGAAGGATCCAATCGAGGTGGTTAATAAACACGGAGGCAAGTGGGGGCTTTTAGGGAGTTAGGGGAGTAGGGGAAAGTGCTTCCCAATGCCTTCTGCACTGTTTTCAAAGACCTTTCCTCTCACGCTTTTTGGGTCTTTGGCCAATGAATCAGTCAGCTCTCAAATACTCGCAATGCATTGTGCCAAGTTTCTAGTGGCAGCCACTAATATTGACAGTGCTCCAATGTAGAACCAGGCGCGGTGCTTCAGGGGAAGGGGGAGGAGTGGAGGGGGTAGTGACCCGGTGGGAGGTGGGTTGCTCCCCGTTCCCCGTTCCCCGTTCTCTGGCTCTCCGGTTCTCTGGAATCGTGCCTGAGCACGTCTCGTACTTAACTTTGTTAAACACAAATCCTTTGGGCAAAGAGTTGCTCCACCTCCACCCGCTCTTCGGGCCACGTACACGCATTAGGGGCATCCAGGGGCGGTGGGCGGTGTGGGTGGGGGTGCCTGGAGGGCGTGGACGGGACAGTAACGGTGTCAGTGGACGGACCAGCAGACATAATCGCATAAAGATAAAACAGTTTAACAGCCGTCGCAGTGAACAAAAGCAACTGATGGTCCTCGGCGCGCGAAGAAGACGCAGCCATTCGGTTGACCCCGCTGATTTCCATGGGCAAACACCTCGGACAGGCTCCCAGTTCGGAGAAGGCGGAGAAGGCTTCAAGGTCAGCGAATTTCAGCAACTCGAACATTTTGTCCAGTGCACGAGCTGTACCCAATTGAACCCATTTTCACTGGGGCAGAAGTGCGCTCTGTCTGCTGGCAACTAAAGCCAAAGCAGGCAAGGTTTTCGAGGTCTTTCACTGGATAGGCAACCCTGGTCCAGGGCTGTCAAGTTGCGCCTGGATCGAAGGGCACCTTAATAAATCAGCCTATTTAAACGCGGAGCTCGTTGATGCCGGGAAAGAGCCTTTTGTGCACTGCTGCTGCTTTTGGCTGGTGGCTGGTGGCTTCCTTTGACGTCGTCATTAGCAGCATTTACACGTCGCTCAGGGATAATAAGTAACCGTTCTAAGGGCCAAGTGCGAAAATAAAGAAGGCGAAGGAAGGCGGAGGGACGCCGGCGCAGACTGACACAAATTAAACTGAAATTAGTTGCAACTCACTTTGCCGCAGCCAAGTGGAAGGAGGGGTCATTGTCGAGCTCCAAAAAGGAAGAGCGGAGCGGAAGGACCAGTGACTGGGCTAATGAGAAATGTCTGCCGCGGGAAGGCAAGGGCAAGGGAAGAAGAAGAGTGCAGCAGGACTCGCTCAGACATGCCAATGGCAACCCTAAGATGCAGCTGAGACACTGCGAAACTGAGAAGCGATAAGCCAACGATTGTTTTCTTCCTGCAACGCTTTTCACTGCGAAATTTAAACGAATCGCAATGGAAGTTCCTTTGAAATTTCGTTCAACTAATAGTACCGTGTTGGCATACGAGCAAACCAAAAGAAGCCGCTTCCTAAGTGACGTGCACCTCCACCTTGACTGACTGACCACCAGGAGGTGGCACTCTCTTCTGATCAAAGTTAATTGACCCAAAATTGTTTTTGCCGCTGACCGCGACGACGCAGCACCCAAATGCCTCCTGCAGTCGCCGCTTACGACTTGGCCATTGTCCTGGGCAACCGCAACCCCCCTCCACTCCCCTCCCCTCCCGGAACGCCCCTCCCCCAAAGGAGCCCCCAAAGGAACCCCCCGAAAGAGCCGCCCCTGGCACTCTGCGGCGGCGTTGCTGCTGTTGATGTTGCTGCTGCTGCAGCGGCAGTTACTGCTGCTGCAGCTGCAGCTGCAGCTGCGGTTCGTTCGCTCAACTCCCACAGTCAGCGATAAAACCACAAAACAGCAACAGCAACAGCCATAGGGGCGCAGGGGGCGTGGCGGGGGAGGGGGGACCGAGGACAGGGGCGTGCAAGAACAATGAGGTGATAAACTTGCAGGCTCAACGCATGACAACGATACCCAGCAGCAACAAAAACAGCAGCAGCGGCGGCGTCAACGTCACATTTTGATGGCTCCTTGGAGAGATGGCAACCCTCGCTCGGCGTGAAGGCAGCTACACTGAGAGAAGCGCTTGACGGTCGATTGCTTTTAACGTGAAGAGGAACTGCGACTCAATTCGTGGACTCGTCCTTCTCAGAAGTGAAGGCGTGGAAGGCGTTGCAGGGGGAACCCCTCGAATTGGGAGTGGAGTTCAACGATTCCTTCCCATTGGAGCGCAACACTTTTTCGCTCAGTGGATCAGTGGGCAAGGCGGTAGTAGAGCCACCCCCTTCTTCGCCCGCTGTGTGCATGCAAACAACAAAGGAAAATCAGCAACAGCAGCTGGTTGGGGCGATGCTACGTCCGCTCCCCAATGCCAACCCCCTCTATCCATCCCCTCCCTCCCCCTCCACCCCCTCCAGCCCCCAGCCATTTCTTAGCAGAGCGCCGCCCCGCGTTTTGTGCACTGGATTTTTTGCTGCTGCTCTTTAACGTGTTTCAAAAGAAAGTTGGTTGACTTTTGAATGACTTTCTTGGCGCGCTCGGTGCGCCTGGCTCGCAGCACTCTTGCTCCCCTCCCCCTCCCCCTCCAATCTGCCACGCCCCCTCCCTGCACTGTCATGCCCCGCCCCCAGCCACCGTGTTGTTGTTTGTTTTATGTGTTAAGTGCGCTGGGCCCGAGCGCGCAAATTTCTTCGTGTAACTGATGCTGACGTTGACATCGCAGCCCCAAGCGACCCTCCACTTTTACCCTCCGAAAGCCCACACGTATATATTTATACATGTATTTATATACGTACGAGTGCAAGTGCTTGGTGTGCTTGGTGTGCTTGGTGTGCTTGGGGTGTGTGTTCGCAGCCGAGTCGACAATCTAGTTACAATTAAAGGCACAAGCCGGCGACAGCGGAAACAAAGCCTGCGCCGAAATCAAACGGGTTTGCATTCGCTTTGATCGTGTATCGTGTTCAATGCCGCCATTTTAGGGCTGACTGAGCAGGGTTGAGCTTGGATACAGCCCAGATCCAGATTTAACCCAATACGCATATGGAGAGAACCCGCATGAATCGGACGAGTGAACTTGAGATCATCACTCAGCTGGGATCGGGAAGTTGCTCGGAATCAGGGAGCAGGGTTCAGGGATCAGAGATCGGGGATCAGCAGGAAGGCGCCGTCTTAAGTGCAAACAACTCCGCACCCAACCAGGAAAATGCAACCCGGGAGGTCCAGCCAGGAGAACCCAACCCCAAGTGCCAAGTGCTGCCCCGCGTTGCAGACGCACTTCTTTTAATTACTGCAGCGTGTTGATGCCCCAGGAGCGAGAGGACCATCTCAAAGTGAATTTTGCATTGGGTTTCGTTTCGTTTCGTTTGTTTGCTGCTCTGTTTTTGCTTTATTCGGAATTCGGAGTTTGGAGTTTGGAGTTCGGAGTTCGGAGGTCGCTTAACCCACTTCAGCCTTCAGCTTCCAGCTACCAGTTTTCTTAACCAATTTAGTTGCCGTCGCGGATGCGGCGACGCATGTTGTTGTTGTTGTTGCTGTTGGGACGGCGACGCCGCTGCTGCTGTTGTTGTTGTTGGCGGCGGCGGCGGCGGATTTGCTGTTGTTGCTGCCCGTTGTTGATGCGCCGTCTGTTGTTGTTGTTATTGTTGTTGCCGGGGCGACGACGTATCTGTTGCTGGCGGTTTCTGTTGGCGTTGTTGCGGTTGCGGCGACGCCTCAAGTTGTTGTTGTTGTTGTTGCCAGCGCCATTGCGACGGCGCTGCTGAAGCTGCTGCTGCTGCCGGCGGCGACGGCGCTGCTGCTGCAGCCTCTGCTGCTGCTTCCGCTGCTGCTGTTGCTGCGGGCGTCGGCGGCGGCGGCGGTTGTTGTTCTGCTGACCCCGCGGGTGGTTCGGCTGCTGCTGGAGCTCCTCTTCCTGGCTCTGCTCCGGGCTCTGCTCCTGGTTCTGGTCCGCCTCCTGGTCCGTGCCCGCCTGCTCCTGCTGCTGCGCCTCCCCGCCGGGAGGACTGCCCTCGGTGGAGGCCTCACTTGCCTCCCCGCGGAGCGGCTTCACCGCGCCCACGCGCACATTCTTCACCTGGTCGCAGGGCACGTCGCTGTAGATCACCACGTTGCCGTAGTTGCACACGATCTGCTCCTGCTCCTGGCCCTGATCCTGATCACTATCCTGGTTCTGCTCCGCCTGGCGGCCCTCGATGGAGCCGATGGCGCCGATGGAGCCGCGCTTGTCCTCGATCTCGTAGATGCTGCCCGACTTGGTGATGAAGCCGGTCACCTGCAGCGGCTTGCTGCCGTTGAGCTTGGCCTCCGGGACCATTGGCTTCTTCGGCGGGGCGTTCACAATCATCGGCTTCGTGGGCCGGACCTCCGCCTTCGGAGGGGCACTAGTGGAGCTCGTCGACGGCGCCGCCGTTTGACCTTTGGCGCAACAGAACAAGTAAAAAAAAAACAAAAATAGGCACATTGTTTACTCGGGCAGGTCAGAGGTCAAAGCGAGGCTGGCAATTTACCGCTCACCAGCGAGAGGTCGCTGGAAAGGGCCGTCGCCCAGAACAGGACGAGGACCATCCCGAATCCCTTGCCGCACGTCGTCATCTCAGCTCAGCTCTTGTTCGCTTCTCGATCGACTGAATCGCGTTCCAGGGCCTGCTCCCTGGTTATATCAACTCCCCGGCTAACGGCTTCTTCTCCTCCGGAATCTTCTCCCCGCCTCTTCCGCCGCAGGTTTTGCATAATTGGGGCCGCGGGTTCAAAGCGTGTCAGATGGCTGCTTCTAATGGACCGAAGGCGACCCATTTCGCCAGTGAGTACACTGGCCGAAATACAGCCGAAGTGCTTCTAGCTATTGTAGCTATGTGTGCTGAATATTAACTGGTGAGGCATAGTTACTAGTTAGTCTTTAAAAATGAAATTCCTAACAATAAGTCAGGGACCACAGAGGTGGTATTATAGTTTTTCTCAGTGCAGTTGACCGTCCTACAGTTTTAGACATCCCACTTCATCAGCAGAGTTCAATGGCTTAAACTAATTAGCATTCAAATTTCTTCTTCGATCAGCGCTGCTGTCGAAAAATTCCCGTCTCTTCGCGCTGATTTTCTCATACTTTGGTTATGCAAATTGCTTTCTTGGCCAGCAGCTCGCGTTTTCAGCTGACCTGACCTCAAGTTCCAACGAGCCAAAGGTAAGGGCGTTTCACAAAAGCCGAAAACTCAACTACGCTCGCCCAAAAACATCTTAGGTCCAGTAACGTTTTAGTATAAGTTGTTGTGGTTCAGTTCTTGCTAATATTTTGTAACCATACGAAGTGCCCTTGTAAAAACTCTGTTCTTGGTCTCAGTAAACCGGTTCTGTGCTATTTTGGACATTACTTCTGGTTGAGCTTCGCGGAAATATCAGTTAATTAAATAGCCGGGGGTTTTCGTAGGTTTGTGCATAGCTAAAAAGCACAACAAATAGTGGAACGAAGATATCAGCCAGTCAATCCGCAAACTATACAACCTAATTGAACAGAAATGGTTGAAGCTACAATCTTACTCTCGTTTTACGTGAATGCGTTGACTTATGCAGTGCTAATAAGCAAACAAATAGTACCAAAGTGGACTACAAATTTCATTGTTTGCACTTTCCACGAAGCCCACTTTTGATGGGTTTTTTGGTTGAGAAACAGGTTTGCCAGCTTGCGTATTCATAAATACAATATATGTCCTATATAGCCCACCTCTCAATAAATCTGTAATAACGGTTTAGTTATTTTAATGTTTATCTTTATTGAATAGAGCACACTTTGAAGCAAAAAAAAAAAACAAAAACAGTGAGAGTGGTATAGTAGATGGACAGATCAGTTCTTCTGCTTCTGGTTGTAGCTTCGCAGGGCTTCAGCCAACTCGGAAAGGGCCGAGTTTTGGGCCTTCTCCTGCTTGCGCTCCTGCTGCTTCTTCAACTGCTTGCACAGCTTCTTCAACTGCTTGCGCTCCTTCTTCGCCGCCTTCTTTTCTCCGCTGTCGTCCTCTTCCGAGGAGGAAGAGCCGCCGCGTTTCTTCCGGTGTCTCAACTGGGCACACTGCTCCAGCAGTTTGGCGGCCTCATCGTCAGGCTTTGCGGTGGTGCTTGTGGTGGTGGTGGTGCTGCTGGAAGTGGTGCTGCTGGGAGTGGTGCTAGAAGTGGTGCTAGAAGTGGTGCTAGGAGTGGTACTGGGAGTGGTGCTACTCGCTGTACTCGCAGATGTGGACTCCGACTTGGGCTTTTCCGTTGTCGTTGTTGTTGTGCTTGTGGTTGTGGTAGAGTCCTCAGGCTTCGGAGTGGTTGATGTGGTGGTTGAGGAGGCGGTGGTGCTGTCCTGCGGCCTAGCCACAATGAAGGAGCAGCTGACCACCAGGAGCAGGCTAAACAGTGCGCAAGCTCGCATTTTCGTCTGATTTGATTTCCCTCGGCGCGACAACTAAATGGAGATCATCAGTGGCTCTTTGCTTAAATAGGCGGCACTTAGCGGCTTTCAAGACCTCCCCACCCCACCCCTCTACCATCCCCTCTTCCCACGCCTTCCATGAGGGGAGGGAGCCAACGATTTGACTGGTTTCAGGCAGGTCGCTAGAAAAGCGACTATAAATCGTCATTATACATTAACATTTTTTCATGAAACTTCTAGGTTTCGGGGTTTTTTTGTGCACCCTACCATCTAAGTAAGCAGGTCCACTGCTTTGTGACACACTATAATGACTTAAACAAATATTTTAAAATTTGTTGGCAATAAAATAGAACGTGTTTCTAGCTGTTGACCTTCTTAAAATATTTAACTCCACATTTAATTGTTTACTAAATGCAGTCATTGTGTAGTGGTTATTTAATATAGGACTAAGTGTACTCGACCATTTAGGGTTAATGGATAATGATAATTAAACCATTATCTTGTCTTTATCTATCTTGAATAATCGTATATCGACGATTTCACAGCAAGAGTTTTTAAAAATTATGCCAATACCTCCATTTTTTTTGGGTCTTTGTACTGGTCATTTGCATACTCTGAGAACTCGATAAACAAATTATTCTTGATTTATGATTCAAGCTGCACAGCTCCTCACTGGCTAATTCTTAGAACTCAAACCGAGAGCATAAACTCAAACACTTGTATTTCTCCTTGTCCATTAGATTAAAATATTATTGGTAAATATTTTTAGTTTATGGACAAAGTGTTTCGAAAGAGGTTTAGGTGTGACATTAAGCTATTTTAATGTCTACTTCGGTGTGATAAAGTTTCTGGGACTCCGCCTCGACTTATTGTTGTTTATACCTTCAATAGGTGGGTATAGCTTTTTCCACATTGCGGCTCGCTCATAATGCCGCTAATTGTTTATCAATTACAGTTGTTAATTGTTTAATACGACTGGCAAGTGACTTTCGGAGTCGAGGATCGAGGGGACAGGGTCGAACAAATTGAAACATTTATCCGGCACACCTGATGGCCCAACGCCGATTACCTGCTCATTTTTTGTTCGGAGTTTTATTTTTGTCTGTTTGCAATTTGTACAAGTAATTGAATAAAAAATGCGCAGCGAAAAACAAGTAATTAAAAAAGGACCCAGAAAATAAGCGAAAGAAGGCGCAGCGCAGAGAGGGTGGGTCTTGTGGCTCGGTGATTGGGTGATTCGGTGGGTGGGATCAGCAAGCACCGCGTAATCCATATGCAGCAATTTAAATGCAACAAAGAGAATATGTTAATTGCGTGTGAAACCGCTGCTGGGAGTCTCATCGGCTATATTTCCTTTTATTTATTACTTATTATAATTATAATTAATTCGCACTCGTTTTTATTTCGTTCGTCTCTGTTTGGAGTGTTTGTTTTTCATTAGTTGGAGTTTATTGTACTTCCGTTTCACCAAAAGGAATTCCAACAATAGATCTTATTGATATATCTTTTCGGTTTTAAATTTAATAAATTATTAGACTGATTCCCCACCCGAATCCCGCAAACGACTGAGTAAAACTTTGACTTCGCTCTGAGAACTAGAACGCCCTGCTTTGCGAATTCTTCCCTCAACCTATTGAATGCTCCCATTGCAACGCATTCACTGGACAGAAATTATCATCATAAGCGGCCCAGTAATGAGGAGGTTGATCCAACCTGAGCCAAGTTGCAAAAGTCTCCAAGTCAAGTGCATTTGCAACTCACTGCCGCCCAGTCGATTTTAGCTTTAGCTTAATGCAAATTTATGGTCATTTGTGTGCCATGGTTCATACCCAGTCAAATATTACGCATACGCACATTGCGCATACGCTCCGTACATTTGCTTCTGTGCGCTGCAAATCGCTAAATGCGTCGAGTCCAAAACTTGAGACGAAGTCGGGTCACGTCCCAAAACGTGGTCTAAAACCATTTAGAACGCCGCTACGAACGAAAAACCGAGCTGAAAGCCGAAGGACACAAAACTAGACGAGCGCAGGCGCCGGCAGAGGCAGCGACGTCGGCAGAAGAAAAACTAACAGTCCCTTAACAGAATGGGAACAGTTTTTCAATAGTCTGATTATAAAATTAAAAGGATTGTTTCAGGCGAAGATTCCCTCTTTATTATGTTTTAAAAATGAAATGAAAACGAAAACGTTCAATTCCCAAGTGATAATACAAATGTTTGCAGTTCTCATTGGACCTTATTACCCTCTGCTAAAATTCGGTGGTCTATTGGAGGATGGATTGACAACATTATTGCATTATTGTACAATTTTCAATAACATTTTTTTCAAAAATTTTAAAAATAAAGCTGGTTTGCAACTTTTGTATACGGCTATATACCTTCCCCGTTGGTATAATACTATATGACTTTAGCCGATTTTATACCCTTGCAGAGCAAAAGGGTATTATAATTTCAGTCAGAAGTTTGCAACGCAGTAAGAGAGACTGAGACACCTCAGACCCCATAAAGTATATATATTCTTAATCAGCATCACGAGTAGAATCAGAATACGACTGTACGTCTGTACGTCTGTCCGTCTGTCTGTTTCGCTGTAAACTAGTCTCTCAGTTTTAAAGCTATCTTGCTGAAACTTTCCCAAAAGGTGTGTAGTCATTGCACGCAGTATATAAGTCGGAACGGGCCGGATCGGCCGTCTATATCGGATGGCGCCCATACGAGAGAATGAAATAAAAAATTCTCACGCCGTTGTTTTTGATCAGATCGACTTGATGGCGTTTTCGAACTGTTATTGAATTTCGGATTAAATTTAATCAAAATCGGAAAACTCTATCATATAGCTGCCATAAGAGAGTTCGAAAAATACACATATAAAGAATTAATGGAAATAAATTTATAACATCGTTGTTTTTTATCCCACTAGCATGATTTTTTGAATATCGAGTTTTTTAAAAACTCTTATATTGAGAAAAAAGTTTCATATAGCTGCCATAGAAAAGATCGAAAAACCTATATAGAAATAACGGAAATAAAATTATATCATCGTTGTTTTTTATCAGACAAGTATGATTTTTGGAATATAGAGTTTTCTTACGACTCTTGAATTACGAATTAAATTTGATCAAAATCGGACAACTATATCATATAGCTCCCATATGATCTATAGTCGAAAATATGGAAAATTAATAGAAAAATCGTCTTAGCTTCGATGTTGTTTACCTGTTATGCATTTTGTTCGACATATTTGATGACTGCAAGGGTATATAAGCTTCGGCTTGCCGAAGCTAGCTTCCTTTCTTGTTTACCTATTTAAATTAATTTAAAAATAAAATTAAATTTACTTAAGCGTTTCAACCAATGGAAACCCAAGATATGCAGAGTATCAGCAATTCATGCCACCGAATGCAAAATTAACTGATCCTTTAGTTAGTTGATAAAAACTAATTTGGAGAAGGTTAGTTGACAATTTTGGTAGAAATCAATGTATTTTGAGTGGTTTTTTGGTTGTAATAAGGCCAAAAAGTGACTTACAGCGGAACCAAATACTGTTTTGAGCACCTGATGACCACAGTTAACGAGCCCAATCACTTTTTGGACGACTCAAAAAAAATGATTTTTGGCCAATTTTCGCAATTTTCATAAGGGGTAACATCGTCATTTTTTGCGAAAAATGGCAAAATTTCAACTTTTTTGGGTGTTTATACTATCGGAATCAGAATTTTATTACGAATTCAACGATGTATGCCATTCCACATTTGGAAGAATATTTCCGGAGATATTGCTAAAAAACTGGAATTTTTTGAGTCATTTTATGTAGTTTTGGGCAAAAAAAAACTTTTTTCGCACCGCTTGCAGAATTAAAATTCCTCCGTAATTGCTGAACATGTTGCACACTTGTGCTGCAAAAGAAACCCCGACCGAACAAGAGTTATAAAAACTATGCTACTTCTTTTCAGGAATCAACGAGAGCAGTTGGAGCTTGGGCGCCTTCCCTGCCTCCCTGGCACACAAAACCAAGTTTGGGTCAGATCCACAGCAGAGCAGGTCAGCGAGGACTTCTACTTCCCCACTACCCTCTTTCCGGAACTTATTCGCCGACGATTATTACTGGACAAGCAGAGCGAGGAGCAGATATTAGTTTTATGATAAGAAAATTTATTTGAATTGTACAAACCTAAATGTATAATGTTTAATAATAATATTAAATAATAATAAGATATAATACTCACATAAGGAACTTACTTATAATAATAAAAACTATACTATAAGTTAAGATAAACATAGGAAACTTATGTCTGAATTATTGAATATAATAAGAACTAACTAATGAAATTATTGACTGTTTTAATGTGGTAGGCGGTTGGGGAATCAAAATGGCAAATTTTAAAAACGAATAAGAAATGTTGCATATCTTAGGGGGCTTCCAAATTTGAATTTCGGATTTTAACCTTGAAATATAAATTGTAGCATACTTTTGGGGGCTCGTAGACAAAACGTGGTGTTGCTCTAGCTTATTTTTTATAGCATACTTTTGTGGGCAATTTGAAAATATTAAAAAAAAGAGTAACCACCTACTATTGCATTCTGTTCGCCTGGTACTTCAAAATGAGGTTTGGTTGAATATGTTGGTATTGGCGGACCGAATTCGAAGGGACAAATTGGAAAATCCACTTTTAGGTACCAGGCGAACATAATCCATTAGTAGGTGGAAATAGACAAAATTTTTGGAAAAGTTGCTCACTGACAGAAGCTCTATCGAAATTGTAGCATACTTTTGGGGGCTCGTAGACAAAACGGTGTTGCTCTTGCTTATTTTTTACAGCATACTTTTGCGGGCAATTTGAAAATATTAAAAAAAAGAGTAACCACCTACTATTGCATTCTGTTCGCCTGGTACTTCAAAATGAGGTTTGGTTGAATATGTTGGTATTGGCGGAACGAACTCGAAGGGACAAATTGGAAAATCCACTTTTAGGTACCAGGCGAACATAATCCATTAGTAGGTGGAAATGGACAAAATGCAGCCCCCTAATTGTAGCAGACAGCTTCTGTCAGTAAGCAATTATTTGGTATTGGTTTTGGCTGAAAATGCAGCCCCCTAATTGTAGCAGACAGCTTCTGTCAGTAAGCAATACCAAATAATTGCAATACCAAATAATTGCTTACTGACAGAAGCTGTCTGCTACAATTAGGGGGCTGCCTGGTATTTCATTTTCAGCCAAAATCAATACCAAATAATTGCTTACTGACAGAAGCTGTCTGCTACAATTAGGGTGCTGCATTTTCAGCCAAAATCAATAACAAATAATTGCTTACTGACAGAAGCTGTCTGCTACAATTAGGGGGCTGCATTTTCAGCCAAAATCAATACCAAATAATTGCTTACTGACAGAAGCTTTCTGCTACTAATTGCTTACTGACAGAAGATTTCTGCTACTGATATAAGATCGCTGCAATACAATTGTTTACTGACAGAAGATCTCTGCTACTGATTGCTTACTGACGGAAGATCGCTGTTATACAAAAAAAAAATTCGATACCCACCTGCTAGGCGTTTCTGTTCGCCTGGTATCTGGTTTTCAGAATCGACCAATTTGGTTGTCCGAAACATCCCCCACAGCCCAAAAAATCAAGAACTTCATTAGTTAGTTTTTATAATCTTTAATAATGCGATTTCTACATAAATAATAATTTTGTTTCTTATGCTATATTAGAAATACATACATATATTGATATTATTATAGTGTAATGTAACGCTGCGCTCCTCCTCGAAGAATCTGGTCCCAAGCTCTGCCATGCACATGCTGAAAGCTTCGTATCCAACGAAGAGTTTCCTTCTCTGTGTGATCACTTTGGGGTTTGTATCCATTGGCTGTGTTGTCTGTTTTCGGCATCATAGGACCTAGAAAAAATATGTTTATTGAATATATTAATATGTATATTATTTTGTGGTTTCTGTAGTAATATTATCTAGGAAAGTATTTTAAATTAGAACCAATTAATTTGTTGGTATTGGCTATCACGTAATAAAACCTAATAAAAAATTTTATTGGAATTTAATTTCAGTTAAATGAGTAAAAGTATGAAATGTGTGTTTTTCGAACTTAAAACTCGTTAAAGCTAAATGTTTTTATATTCTATTCACAATTTCATTATGCATTTTAAAGAATAAATAGGTAGAGGCGCATTTGTATTTGCTAAAATTGTTTATGGTGGTTTAAAGAGGAGGGGAAATGGCAAAACCTATAAATAAAATACCAAAATCGCTTGGAACGGCCTAAAAAATACCCAAAACAAAAGTAATTACATTGAAACAATCTTCAAATGGCAAATTGATAAAATCCGCTTAGGCTCTCAGTTATTTTTTCGCCACCGCCAGCGATCGCCATCGCGCACACAATTGGCCCGCCCCATCGCCCGTCTCCTGCCCCACGTAAGTCCCCCATTCAAGACGTAAACAAATAACCGAACTCCCCCAACTCAAGTGTCTTGTGTTTATAACCGGCGGACAAAACCAAGTCTGGGGGGACCGTAAATTCTTATCACCGCCGGTCAGCCGACGCCAGTGGAGGGCGTTTGGTTTCAAGTCCAAGGACCCGTTCCTTTTCACTCCTGATCCCGATTAGGTGGCTGGTTCGTTTCCCACTGCCAACTTAAGCCGCTTTGGGCATGCATGGAGGAGGCAAATCGGACTGGGCAACAGCTGCTACTGCACTGAGAACAAATAACTCCATAAACTAACAAAAATGGAAAGCCGGGGCCATCCAAATTTGAAGAATATTCTTTCAGTTTAATATCAATTTAATGTGGCTAAAATTGAGGACGTGTTTGGGGAGTACATGGTACATATTTCAAAATACATTTTCTCAGTATGGTAGTTTGCGCAGGCATTCATTTAAGCTCAAATGCGTCATATAACATTTTTTTTCATTAGCCATTTTTTATAGTTTTGGGCAAAAAAAAAAAAAACTTTTCCCATTGGTAATTTGTCTGTTATTTGGGCAAGAAACAACTTACAGCTAAACAAAGTATAGTTTTGGAAACAAGAAAAGCCCAGCAATTCATGCCACCGAATGCAAAAATAATTGTTATTTTACTGATCCTTTAGTAAGTTCATAAAAACTGATTTGGGAAAGATCAGTTGACAATTCCGGTAGAAAACACTATATTTTGAGTGGTTTTTTGGTTGTAATAAAGCCAATTAGTGACTTACAGCGGAACCAAACACTGTTTTGAGCAGCGTATGACCAAAGTTAACGACCCCAATGCCATATGCCATTCCACATTTGGAAGAGTACTTCCCCAGATATTGGAAAGAAACTGGGATTCGGATTTGAATACCTCAAAATGCTTGTTGCATTTTATATAGATTTTTTGCAGGCACTGTCAAAAGTTTGTACATGCAATGTAACAATGACTCAAATATGATGTGGCTTTCATATTTTGTTAAAGCTACTGACGATTTATGAATTAACAAGCTTTTGAAATGCACTTTTTTGTTTGGCCAAAAGCTAGGCCTATAATCTTATTTATACGCCTAAATATAGCTTTAGTGTGTCCCATCAGAACCCACTGCACGAGCATTTGACAAGTGTGCCTCATGTGTTGGGTTGTTTGTTCTGCGGAAAGGATGTTTCCCACACTCGAGTTGCCGCACTGCGGCCTTGCAGAATTTCCATAAGTTGCCTTCTACCAGCCCGCGCAATGTTTTTTCGCATTTGTTGGACGTCAGATAGTCAGTCAGTCAAGTGGCAGGGGCATAAACAGGAGCGGTGGCATTTCAAAGTCGTTAAATGTCTTTGCAACTCGTCATTGTCGTTGGCATTGTGGCTACATTTTCCCCACTTTTGAACCAGCCACAATGCTTTCGACTTCCTTCCGATGTGGCCAACAAATTCGAGCCGCACATGCAGGCCGCGCAAACATAATCATCATTATTGCTGCAATCAGCATATTTGGCAGGCTTAAAGTCAGTCGCTGTCCCGGGAAACAGGAAGGCATTGTGGATTGCCGCCCCCTTCCTCCACGTGCTGCTCCTCGTTCCCCGCAGTGTACCCTCTAGTTGTGTGGTTATGCTTAATATCTGTCATTAAAATGGCTGTTGTTTTTGCGGCACAGCCGAGGCTAAACTGCAGAAAAATGCGTTCCTAAAGGGGCACCCAATGAATAGCGTTTACTAAAATATAAACATATAAATACAAATGTACTTCGCTCATCGCATCAATAAAACACTTGCCTTTCAAAGATAAATCGAATTGCTTGAACGCTGTTTACCGGGGGATGGAATCGCAACAGAATATATTATTTATTTTTATCCTTAAACTTCAATCACAACAAATAGCGTTCAGTGTAGCTGCCAGGGGACAGAGTGGGTGCGTGGGCCTTGGGCCCATCGCCTGAAAACAACTACTGCTACTAACAGCCGACTGAAAGCAACCCGGGCAATACAGGTGCATTATGCAAATACCGAATATATTGCCCAGTGCATGCGATAAGAATCCATTGCGCAAAAATTAATTAGTCAATTTGCATGAAATTTATGTACAAAGCGCGAACAAACGAAGCCAAAACGAGGCGAAGGGTGAAGGGGCGAGGAGCGAAGGGCGAAGGGAAGCGTCGCAAGGAGTTGGGGGAGTGCATTTCAATTGTATCTGACTAGACGCGGATAAGGTCACACTGTGCGGCAAGAATGTGGCCACATTGTGATTTTTGATTGCGTGGGTTATCCTAGGAACCTTTGATTTTAATTTCAACATGGCTGCGCCAGCTTATTTCATTCAATCGATAAACTTTCCAAAGAAAGTATCCGAGTCCAACTTTCTCAGCATCACTTCGAAAATTGAACAAGACTGTATTTTCCTGCAGTTGCTTCGGACGATCTGCCGCAGGATATCGAGGCCCACTGAAGTGCTTTAAGCTGGCTGGAGGAAAAAGGTCAGTATGCAGAATGAGCACTTACTGCTCGGGCTTCAACAGCCAAGCTCTACTCGTATGGGGACAACCCCTAGTCGTGGAAACGGGTCGCTTTGACTGATTTCTGAATGTCACGACTTCTAGCTCGTTGGCGGTGCCTTCGGTTCCTTCGATCGAAATTTAGCGAAATAAATGCGCACCGACAACGGCAGTTCCAATGCTCTACACTGAAGTGCCTCAGAGCGAGAGAGAGTCCGAATTATGAACTGTTGAACTGTTGAACTGTGTTTCTGGGCGAACCCGATCTCCTTGCAGGGCCATGGATCCGACGGTGTCCACCCACTGGGACGTCAACTGCGACGGCTGCGGCGTAATGGGACTGGAATTCTACCGCTTCAAGTGCCTGCACTGCCCGGACTACGACCTCTGCATGTCCTGCCACGACAACGGCGTGGTGACCGAGGACCACGCCCGGAGCCACCCCTTCCAGTGCCTGCTGGACCGCGCCGCCCTCGAGCTCCACTTCGCCGGGGAGCAGCTGCCGGAGCTGTGTGCGGACAGCTTCACGTGCCCGCTCTGCGGCGAGCTGGGCCTGACCGCCGAGGAGCTGATCGAACACTGCCAGGAGCAGCACAGCTTCACCGCCACCGCCGTCATCTGCCCGCTGTGCGTGGCGGTCCCCTCCTCGCACCCCGACCCCGTGGAGGACATCGCCGACCACCTGGCCGCCATGCACCGCCAGGGCATCCTACGGGTCCAGGACGCCCGCTTCGGATCGGGACTGGAATCGGGATTGCCATCAGGGGCAGGCTTGCAAGGGGCAACGGCAACGGGAACGGGATCGGGGACGGGAACGGGAACGGGAACGGGAACGGGAACGGTCAGTCAGCACTTCCTGCCGTCCGCCCAGATGCCGAGAGTCCGCTTCATCCTGCCTACGGGATCTCCTCGCCTGGCGGCCTCCGAGGACCTCAGCGATGACGAGGTGATCTTGTTTCTGGACCAGGACGCCCAGTGAGCCCGCCCATCGAAAGGCAACCAATACGCTTCGAACCAAAAATATGAATTTGTTGATACGTACACCGAGGTATAAGTATCATTAGTATGCAAATACTCCCACAAGAACTTTCCAATAGGGTAGCAATAAAACCGCAGTGCGAGTTGTTCCTCCAAGTCACTGGGTGACCTCCTAACTCCTTCTGCTTCGATCCGGAAAGGGACTCCAACACAACCGGATGCCACTACCCTCCTCCCCCGCGATGGTCGTTATGGCTAATGAGTAATCAGAAGCCGAATCGGGGAAACGCGTTCTCCGCAAATTATAGGCGGCAGGAAGGGGAAGGGGAAGCTGCACTTCCAAGTGGAAGCGGAACCCGTGGGTTACGAGTCGTGCGCCCATTGGCGCAACCTCCTCGGGTATTTGTTCAGAAACACGATGGTCGAATATTGCTAGATCTGCGCGGATTTCCATCCGCATTAATACCCCCTAATGGCAATACAACAATATTGCTCTGTGGCGCTTAGTTGAGCGAAGCACACGTTTAAAGACTAACCAAATCTTTACTGATTCTGTTTCCTTTCAGCACCTCACATCAACTGGCATCTCGAGTGGCAGGCTCAGGCCGCTCAGAGCCCCCGCTATCCCCCTAAGCCCCCCTTCAAAGCCCCTTCGCCCGACGCCCCTGCCCGTTCCGCACACAGCACGCATTCGCATACAAATGACACTAAAGGCGAACGACTTTGATTTCGTATTGGCTCCTTGCCGGATTCACTCCCACTCGCACTCAGGGGGGTTCAAAGGGGTGCAAAGGGGTTCGGTGGATCCCCACCCCATCCTCGCCCCCTCCGCCGCTCCTTCAAGAGCCACCGCACTCTCGCAGCTGAAAGCCGAACCGCAATTGACATCGCTGGCCGCCACACGCTTGCACAATTTTTAATCATTGCTCCGGCATTTAGAGGCGCTCTCTTGACCCCTTGCCCCCTTACTTCCCGGCCACTCTGTCCGTCGATGATCCCGGAGCATTGTTATGAGAAGGACGAGGACACAAACATGCACGCCAGCAGGCGGCGGGTGGCGGCCGACAGACATGCACTTAAAAAAAAACCCACTGTGTCTGCCGTGTACAGTGTTTTAGAAAAACTTGTCTACATTTAGAGGGGGTTTCTGTAAAGCACTAGATTGGTTTCCTGGGAGAAAGTTTTTTGAAATGTAAAATGTGTTGATGAGCATCCTCCGAACATTCACTTGCAAGAATCAACAGTGAAACAAAGATCCTGATGCTAAAATCGGAGCTACGAGCATGAAACCTAAGCTAATTCAGAACGAATCGACCAATGGTTCAGCCGTACACCGGACGAGGCGATCCACTGCCCGTTGGGTTCCAGCGGCATGTTTGCAGTGTGGACAGGAGCAGGAACAGAGTCCTGGGTCTCGGGTCCTGAAACGTGGGATTCCAGAGGAGGGGGAATCGGAATGGGGAAAGGGGAGTGGGGAATGGGGAATGGAACAGGGCCTGGGCTTATTGTCCGGGCTTTGGGTCCTTTATCTTGTTTCTAACTCATTGGATCGCAAAAACGGTCTCGTGTTCACCTTAATTGGGGTAAACATAAGTTCTGATTGCCCCAGCAGGGTTGCAGCGACACAAAAAAGAGTTGCCAGCGACATTTTTCTTCTCTGCCTCTCTCATTCTTGGGTTATCCTCGAAAGGAATTCGGGTAGGAGTCGAGTCGAGTCGAGTGGAGTCAAAAGCCAAAGTCAAAGACGAGCGTCAGACGTCGTACGTCGAACGTCGAACGTGAAACACATCCAATTAGAAGGCCACAAAGGGCGGGCGCCGAAAGGGTTGATGCCGTGCGGGTGGCAACTCTGCCGGGCCATTGTTGAAATGAGATTACAGCGCGCAGATAAAAATTGTTGAACGTGTAATTTTTATTTATTGCATACAATTCTGTTTGAACAAATGACACCGAAATTGGACGGGGAGCCTCCCTTGGTGGGTACACATACGCGCAAGATAATAGCAGTAGCCAGTACCCTGGGATAATCGTGTCCGCACCACTCTTAGGTAAATTAATTACCACGCATTGTGCAGCTTCGAATAAATAAAGTGTCGCAAAAAACACTAGCAAGCATTGCTATTGTCTTGAGCACAACTGTGCGATTTCAAAATAAATGTTCAACTTTGGCCGCACACAAAAAGGTTGCCGCCAAGCAAATACATGTTTTGGGAACTTTTGAATTGAAAAAGCGTTTAGACATTGTTCGCCTTTGTGTGTGGGCAACTAAATGATGGGGAAACTATAAAAATTTCCATAACAATAATAAAAGCGAGGAAAAAGGCAGAGGCAGCGGCCCCGGACCCGAAAAGACATTTATTCATTTCAGTTTGGAAATTAGCATAAATGTAAGGGCCCACAAAAGGGATGCTGTCTGCGCACGGGACGAGAGTGTGGGTGCTGTAAAATTCAGGAATCCCACAGTCTCTGTGGGGCAGGACGAAAGGATGCAGAGAGCGATGAGCCACAATCAAAGCTTGTGAGCGTTTGATAAGCGTGAAAAACGTGAACATTTTAATAAAACCAAATGAGCCGCCAAATCATGCAGCCAAAAAAATGAAAAACACGCAAGAACAACAATAAGGAGCAGCAGAATCGGGCCTGATAAGCCAGATTTTGGCAAGGTGGGTAATGAAGCGCCTTAATGTATGCCACAATCCCTGCTCGCTAACGCGGAAACTTTGTCGCTGCAAACTCAGACGGCTCTGCCACACAAAAAGCTGGGAGGGAGATAAAAGCAAAACTCTCAAAACTGCTGCATTGTTTGCCACTCCAGCCACCGCCAAAGTCGGATATCAATATCAATTTCCAGAAACTAAGGAAAAAGAATATTAGTTGAATTGTGGAGCTTACCAAACTCTCCCACTAGTCGGTTAGGTATTTTCATTTGAAGGATCGTGTTTTATCTGAGGAACGAACAACGTTTACTCTGATAAGCACTCTGAGCCAGTTGTTATATCAACTTGTCGCAGTATCGACAGAGTTTGAGAGGGGAAATCTCAGCCAAGCACCTTTTAGAATTTATAAGTCCATTTTGGCTTAAACTAAACGTACTCTAAGCTACTAGTTGGCTATAAAAGCTTTTGAAAAAACAACTGACGAACTTGTTAGCCAACCAATTTGGAGCAAAGGTCGGCGATGAAATCGGTTATTCGCCAAATTAGGGCCCGAACTACGGCTTAACCGCTTCTTTTTGGGCGGCAAACAAACACGCCAACATGGCCATGCAATATAAAAAGCGCCAGCAGAAGTCCAGCCGTAAACGCCTGTGTATCTGTCATACCTTCGGAAAAGTTTTCGGGGGGCAATAGCCAAACAAAGGCAAAATGACCAACACATTTTGCGCCCCAATAAAACTGTCAACATTATAAAACGCCACTTAAGAAATGAACAAAAGACTGGCCCGAAAAGTGGGCGCGGCAGTGGGGAAAAAACAATAATCATAAAATTAAAGCCGAGCCAAAAAGGCAGGTGGAAATTAAATAAATAAGAAGGGCCTGTGCATAAAAACAAAAAGCCACCGAACTTTGTTCGGTTGGGCGAATGGAGGCGAAGGGTCGGTTGACATGATTAGCATGACGCACACACACGCCAGCACACCGGAAAAAATGTCCCACCCACAAAGAGGCCGCACTGCCACCAAAAGTCGCCAAATGAGGGTCAACACACATGTGCGCCACCCCGACAGGCCAACTAAATATTGAAATGAAACGTAGAAGCGGCAGAGGCGGAGGCGGAGGCAGCGGCAGAGGAGTTGATTATGAGCAATAATACCCTGGAAACTGAAACTGTCTGTCTCCTCGGCACTCTTCGAAAGTCTTCAAAGAGGCGATATACAGTGCTCGTACCTGCTAGACAAACAAACAAGGTTTCCAAACCGCAGAAACGCGGCCATCGGGAGCGCAGCAAACTTAATGGAAATAATAGAAATTCACTATACGGAATACTGTTCAACGCAATGGAAAAAAGTATGAAAAGTTGAAAAACTTGTGCGCTTTTTGTCATAAGAGTATGCTGTTCCTTTTTTTGCGAATTGACAGTAAAATTAACTTGTTGATGGGCCTTACGAGCTGACCAAAGTGCCACGCCCCGACGCCTCCTTGGCGTGGTTATGTGCAATAAAAAAGGATTATGAGCTGAGGGACAGCCCAAAAACCAAAAAACAGCAACACCCGCACATGGAACACAACACAATGTAGGACGAACGCTTCTGCGTGTGTGTGCGTGGGCCAAAAGTTCAAGTGTCAGTGCCACACACACACACACACACACACACACACTCGTTGCAAAAAAGGTGGGCCCACTATCCCTGCCCTCTAAAAAATATTCATTTGGCCCTAAACTCAAAAAACCAGACGGCTATAACGAATGTTAAGTGTTCAAATTTTGTAGATGCTGTATATATAACATAAGACAGATATTATGTTTCTTATGGGAAGTGCTAACGTGTTATTCTTGCTATGGGAACCTGTTTCGCTTTGGAGCAGCACTAATTGTTTGAAAAGTTGTTTGTGGGTATTAATCTTAACTCTGGGACGAAGACAGCGTTTGCAGTAATCCCAGTTTTGACGAACCGAAAAGTGAGCAACGGGTGAAGCTGAGTGCAAATGCAAACGCAAGTCTGTTAATTCACCTCAAAGTTCAACGATTTCCTCACGCATGGAAACGGCAACTCAACTTTGTTGCAATAATTATGGCTTGACAAGAGCATTTGGCCCGCAGAGCATACCGCTCAGGCTTGGCGCCGATCCTCGGACGGACAGATGGATGGATGGACGGATGGACGGACGGAGGGACCTCCACAGACTGTGCGTGCAGAAACACTTTGGCGAACTTCCCGTACGAACTGCCATCTCGACTGGTACAACACCGCAACATTGTAAACTGCCGTCGGGTGTTTTTTATTACTGGGGAACCGGGGAGCCGGAACCGTCAGCGAACTCAGCTTAATTTCATGAAAATGCCTGCCAACGTCAGCGGCGCCTTCCCCTTGGCCCGCCGGATGTTTAGCGCAAACTTTGCTTCCACCACACTTTCCCATTCGGATCCTGCAGTCGCCCCCCTTTTTCTGTGCTGGCGCCACTTCATAAAACAATAAGCCAATGGTCTTTCAGCAA